AAGTTTGATCGTCTTTGACACAGAGGTTTATCCCTACTTTGCCAGCAAACTGCAGAGGATTTAAAGTGAGTGAGTGAGCATCGCTACTATGTTTATGCAAGAAAAGATGTCATGCCAAAAACGCTCAAAGTAGTTAGTGAGTAAATTCAACGGAGGATTTTACAAGTATTCATCACTACCTATGAAAGATAACATGTGTATAAACTCAGTTCATTAAAATTTAAATAATAAAGGAACTTGCAGTGGCGAGTTAACGTGTAATGATATATATATATATATATATATATATATATATATATATATATATATATATATATATATATATATACTGGGATCGCCAAACAACTTCATAACTTCAAGGCCTTAGGCGTATTCTTAATCAAAACGGAACTAATAAAACGCATCTAAAAACACAATGACCTACCAAATCAAAATCACATAAACAAACAAACATCCACCATAACCAGCTCCCTTAGTTCTCCTCCCCAACCCCACCGGCATCTATTCCAAATCTCAAAATTCCCCAATTCTATATAAGCAACCCCTAAAGCCCCCTCTTGGGTTGCACAGACCACTTTCGCCCCTTTCGGAAACACATTAAATGGCCTGGCCGGGCCCGTGTGCGAAATACGCACCAGTCGGAAAGCGCACGTTATATCTCCAAAGTAAGTAAGTAACAACTTCATTGTAAATAGACAAATGCACCTGTGACTTGCGTAGCCTTGTGGTGTATATCAAGGTTTTAATACCGATTTAAACACAGACGAGGTTCCCGTTCCCGCATACACAGGAAATGCTGCATGTCCAGCCTCCATCAACACCTCTAGTGATCTTATGGCGATCCCGAGCCTTGCGCATAACCATTGTCATGACCTGGTTGAGTGACCTCCTCCCATCAACGTGAAAGGATTACCCACAGAGAAAGAAAGGATTAAAATCACCCATAAATCTTATCATAACGTCGTACTCCAACTTCTAAATGCCCCTCAAACAAGGATTAAAATCCTAAAGACATCCTATCTACATGATATAGATACTCACAACCTCTGATAATAAACTGTTACTTTTGGTCATTGGGCAAATGTAAAAATCACAAACCCTAACGAGATTCTGTCTACATGTCACACCCGTGATTGTGAAGATCTCAAATTCTTTCAACAGTCAGACAACATAGCTGTTCATATTCATTTCCAACATCCTCTTAGAATTAGTGTAAAAGTGTCCCACACAAAACTTTCTTTTATTAATTCTTTCAAAATACAAAACAGAAAGTGGGGTGTGGGGAAATGGGACATATTCCTACGTGAAATAATAAGACATTAGTAGTGGTGACGGCTATATCATAATTGTACAGTCTAAAGCATAAATTTGGCGTACGAAAAACGTTATATTTGCAATCAAGTTGAATGACTCATGTGGGCAAAATGAATATGTTCGCAATCCACAAACAATCATTTTATTAATGGCGAACATTTACCAACCCGCGACAATCGTGTCAACACGGGGGTTCCCCTAGCAATAAACTCGCATCTAAATTCACTACTGTTCTACTGTCGGCTAGCAAGAATGGCTAGACTGGACCTTCGTGGAATGGTTCATGCCATAAAAGTCTTGCAACCGAACACTAATTAAGACGGCCGACCTTGTATTTATGGTCTGGTGAACACAGCTCAATGGCCGCTCATTAACTCAAGATTCACATCTCACTTTTTTTTATTTATCTCACTATTCATTGGATATATTTTCCAACTTCAACTGGAACCCGGTCCCGTGTTACACGCGTGGCACATGCGTGTGCAACGAGTGACCCACGCGGGCTCCACGGGTTGCACACGCGCTGCACACCCGTTGCACACCCGTGTCCAACGGGTGCTCAACCAGTATGCAACCCGTTGAGCACCCGTGTCACATGCGTGTTACACGCGTTCTCAACGCGTGTTAGGGGAATGAACTTCTAGGCAGTAGTGTATGCACACTTGTCAGTATTGGACATCCTCTATTTGTGTTCATAGTAAACGTCATTCGTGTCTGATTTATGTTATTAATGACATTAATTATTGAATATTCGTTCGAATAATGAATCTGAAAGGTTGAACTGCATGTTTATTTATGACCACTTTCAGCCAAAAGTCCGTCAAAGTAAAATAAATTCTGCCTTATGTTTCATTTAGTCTATCGGGGGTCACGGGTGGCCTCGTCGTCTAAGGCGCCGCGTCTCGCTCTGCCGATATGTATCTTTGTGGAACGCTATAAACCTATGATTGTGTGCTCAAATCCCAGTTCGACCCGGTTATGTTTCCAGGTTTGTCAGCACCATACCCGTACACGTGGGTTTCACACAAGTAGTAAACGTCTGAGACCTGCAACACTTCGAGCTTTCAAGATGACCCGCCGTTACATGACTGGAATACTATTTAAAGGACCTTTATCCAAACTCATTCAAACTTTCTTGCATGTTAGCTTTTCATGTTGTATTTTGTTATGTCATGTTAAACACTAGTGAGTGAGTGAGTATGGTTTTACGCCGCTTTTAGCATTATTCCAGCAATATCACGACGGGGGAACCCCGGAAATGGGCTTCACACATTGTACCCATGTCGGAAATCGGACCCGGGTCTTCGGCGGGACGAGCGAACGCTTTAACCACTAGGCTACCCGACCACCCCTGTTAAACACTAAATGATGGTCACGTGAAAGAGGTTTACACATCACACAAGTTATCATAAGATTGGTAGTTAAGCCAATAGATGAAAACGGTATTTATAGTGATAATGTACGAATACATATGCAAATATAAAATGCAGAAAAAGTAGACAAAATGTTTGTTTCACGATAAATTATTGTTCTATCATGACGTAAATTCTAGAGATTCGAATATGCGCTGGCAACTTAATGACGTTAGTTTTGAGAGGGAAGTGTCTAGTAACTTGTTCCCCACAGACGTAAGTCGTCTAAGCAAGGAAACGCAGTGGCCGAACGATCGCATCCAAAGTGGGAGAGACATGACAATTGGTATGAGGAGAAAAGGTACAGATGATCGACGTGATGCAATTGTGAGAATAAGCGGGAAATATCAAACTTAACCGACCTGCTCGTAAAATGGACTCGTCCGACATTTCCGACGTCGGATTCTGTTCAGGGAGTCATCATTATTAAAAATTAGGTAAATATTTTTAAAGCTTGTACATTTTATCAAAATCCTTGAAGAGTCTGTAGATACTATCTCATATAAGAAATAAACGACTCGTGGTTGTTGTTAATCGTACAATTAAACACCGCAGGGAGAAAAGACCATAGCCACACCCAGGAGTCTTGTACAGTTGCCAAGCAAGGAAGGAGGTTGGCTGCTTGTTTTGAATGTGCGTCTTCACAATTCGCCCGAAGCTGTTGATGGTTTTGATTGCCACGTCTGCAAGTCGGCGGCATTATGGATTGTTAGACACACATTTCTCAGAAGTACAAAGTAGACAAAGAGTTTAGGGATAACAACGTCTTTATTATACTGTAATAGCGATGTGATTTCACGTTTATGATTATTGATTCGTAACCTCAAGTCGACGTCACTTCTGATTTTTATGTCATTTTTGATTGAAAGCTTCTGCACAAGAACAAAATTAATTGATCGACGTTGAAAAACCTAATTTCGCGAAACGAAATACTGTTCTTTGATCTCACATGAATTGAGTGAGTAGTGTTTTACGCCGCTTTTAGCAATATTCCAGCAATATTACGGCGGGGGACACAAATAATGGGCTTCAATAATTGTACCCATGTCGGGAATCGAACCCGGGTCTTCGGCGTGACGAGCGAACGCTTTAACCACTAGGCTACCCGACCGCCCCTATATACCACATGAAAGATTGACATGACGATGATATTTCATTTAGAGAAATCTCATTCTGTAACCTTCTGTAATGGGGCCTTGGCCATACATGCCAAACATGTTGGTCCGGTTACGTCAATCCCACTGCTGAACCGTGATATAATTCATAAACCATTTAAAAATGTGCCATCACCTGATTTTCTGGTTTGTTTACATGCATGTCGGATCCTTTGGTCCCCAGTGGAATGCCTCGGAATAAAGAATAATGTTTCCTAGGTAACTCGAGATTGATTATTCTGTGTCGTTGACCTTTAATATACATTGTATTTTCTTATATATTTTTAATACAACGGTTGAAAAATGTAGCAGCTTTGATATATTTCTTATGACTAAAGAAACGGATTAGTAGCATCCTATCAAAATAAATGTGATATTTCGGTCTAAACATTGAAAACAAAAATACCTTTATCACGAACATCTGGTGTCATCAATGCTTTTCAGTCATCCATTTATATTTGCATCACAAAGTTGCCTTTCACGCCCAATGGAATCTCTCCAGATAGTTGAGACTAATTATTCTCCGACGTTTACGGTTTGACAAATATTTTAAGTGACAAAAATACATGTATGACACCTTTGCTATGGGAATGAATATGTAAGTGGGTGAGTGAATATTAATTAACGCCTCAGCAGGAATGTTCCTGTTGTATTACGGCAACAAGTAAATAATCGAGTCTTGGTTAGTTACCCAAAAGAATGAACAAAGGCCTACTCCATCTCGTCAATCAGCAAAGTCCCACACATCGACAACCGGATCCTCATTTTTCAACTCTTACCAGAAACAAGGGACACGGATGACCTATGCTGACCTTGAAAATTCGTGGTGGTTATGTATAGGAAACAAGTAATCATAACTGCTTGTTTGAAAAGCATTCTAGCAGTTGATGAGAAAAAAAGAACATACAACTTTATGGATAACAACTTCTGGTTTATTGCATATAGATAGAAGTTGTTGTCCACAAAGCTGTATGTTTTCTTATAAACTCACCGTAACATAACCGTAGATATACAGTGTATACACTGAATGACGTAGTGGATTATGTACAGGTTTATTTAAAGCAGGTTTACTGCAGACTATGTCGTTAAACAACGAACTAAGAGATGTTTTTCGTTTCAGCGTTCGCCTTTAAAACCGTGTCACCAAAGACTGTCACAACTAAAGTTGTTAAAACTGGTAAGTTTAAATATACCTTCGAACCCGTGAAGATCCGGAAAGAATAGGTCTTCAGCAACCCATGCTTGCCGTAAAAGGCGACTATACTTGTCGAAAGAGGCGACTAACACTGAATGACGTAGTGGATTATGTAAAGGTTTATTTAAAGCAGGTTTACTGCAGACTATGTCGTTAAACAACGAACTAAGAGATGTTTTTCGTTTCAGTGTTCGCCTTTAAAACCGTGTCACCAAAGACTGTCACAACTAAAGTTGTTAAAACTGGTAAGTTTAAATATACCTTCGAACCCGTGAAGATCCGGAAAGAATAGGTCTTCAGCAACCCATGCTTGCCGTAAAAGGCGACTATACTTGTCGAAAGAGGCGACTAACGGGATCGAGTGGTGAGGCTTGCAGTCTTGGTTGATGCATGTCATCGATCCCAATTGAAAGGATCGATGCTCATGATATCAATCTCTGGATTGTCTGGTCCAGACTGGATTATTTACAGACCGTCGTCATATAGCTGGAATATTGCTGAGTGCGGCGTTTAACAAAACAAAAACAACATATGATTATGCGGTCGGGATCTTAACTGTGTCCAAGTTATAAACTCTTTTTAGCCCCGCCCCTTAGTCCCCGGGGGTGGGGGTAGGGTTCATTCAGCCACTCCATTTCTCCATTCTTCAATTTGGTTTGAATCCCCACCTTTGGAGAATGCTTCCAACCAAATATGGTTGATAACTATCTCTAAGTTCCAGAGAGGAAGTCGTTTAAATCAATAACGACAAATTACACCAATTTGGACCCGCCCCTCAGCCCCTGGGGGGTCAGCCCCACCATTTGTACAATTTTGAGTTCCGACCACATAGGAATGCGTCCAATCGAATTTCGTTAATTTCCAATTAGTGGTTTAGAAGAAGAAGTCGTTTGAATAAATTGTTGACGTACGGAGGACGGACGGACGACGAATGGACGGACGACAGACTTCACGGTATCCCATAAGCCCACCTTGGTCCTTTGGACCCGGTGAGCTAAAATTCAAACAAATTATTTTAGCTGTCCATGGCAGAGTCACAGGTCAACACTATCAGGACAACATCATTGTTGTGCCATTTGCACAACGTGTTGGGCAATTTTCAAGATGATAATGTACGTGTTATCGGTCCAGGATTGTGACTACTCTCAGTGTGTTGCAATATGAAGATATTTCTTAAACGTTCCCTTTAAATTGTCAGCAGAAGAATCGTAATTATAAATTCACATATCGTTTCCCGTTTAAAAAAAGTTAGTATATAAACGTCAGAGCAAAAGGTTACATGATAACTCCAAAACTCAATTTTGTGGATATTTATTTTCCTCACCATAGAGGGACATGCTCAAAGCGCTATTATCAGCCCTGTAAACCATCATTCTCAGCTCCAGTGAGTATGCAACCCAAGCTGCCTGCTAGAAGGTTAACAATCACATTGCCATCTCATCCTACCGGGTACCCATTAACTGCTGGGTGAACAGTGGCACTTTTCGAAAAAAGTCACTTGCCCAAGGAGACGTCACATGTGTAACATGTTCTTCAGTGTGGAACAGTGCCCAAGCCTTAGAAAGTCTCAGGAGCAAAGCTGCCGAAACGCGATGTTGCTGAACTTCACCTGATTTGTGACCTGTGCTTTGTACACAGTGCTTTGTGCTTTGGACCACGTGCCAGCATGATCAGATTGAATCTGTAATCTCCCTCGCATCGCTATTACATAGGCACAGCGCGCATTAAAGAAAACAGCCACCGCCCGAACCTGCCAGGTTCCTTTAGTTGGTCGACACCAATCACTAAAGGCAGGCCACTCCTAAGTTGAAAATATTTTACGGACGCCTCGATCAATATATTTTCATAACCGAAACATATTCCATTGAGCGGCAAAGGCGAACTAGTCGTGACAATTTTATGAGATCAGTGAAAATCAGTGATGACACCAGGTGTTCTTGACAAGAGTCAGCATTCCCCCTCTACCTGTAGCACCCGTCACTCAAACAATTTGCATAAAGAGCAATCAGGTGATATTTGACCAGACAATCTAGTCACATGACAGCGTAGTTACCATTTAAACACATTGATAATAACAAATTTAAAGTGTCTGTTGATGTATATACATGTATGTTGAGACATTGAAAATATGGCTGCAATTATGCCGATGCGACGTTAAATTTTAACTCACTCACTCACTGATACATTAAAATGCACTGTTAACAGTAAAGTAACTATATGGTTTTGTGAAAGAAACATATTGAAAGTGTAAGAACAAAAGGACCTCATATTATGTTTTTGTCATTCAGCAGTTTCGTCAAACAACGGCTCAAAGTTTATCAACCTCTCGCCTTGCCCGGCGTCAAACGTCAGTTCAGCAGAAGACATCACGTACCGTCCACCCTCGGAGAATATTAATGTGGATTTTGTCCTGCAATCTGGAAACACGGAACTATTTGACCATTCCAAGATGGCGGCGGGTCTCGGGAGGTGCGCCCGTCAGTGCACCGAGTCCACAACCTGTGTATCGTTTGCCTTCAGTCACAAAGGATCCTGCTATGCTGGAGCCCAATGCGACCCTGGACAGTTACCGGAAACAGTGTTGTATTATGAAATGAGCGTGTTCCGTTGACATTACTGTTCTTTTTAACACATGTCCAATATACGAGGTTGTGCCTCTTAGCTTTCTTCGCGGTTGGTGTGATAACTCCCTGTTTGGACCAGGACCATATTTTCAGGTGCACAATTGACTTTCCTTTGCCCATGTGATGGTGATTCGTAAACACGTGGTTACGGTATAGGCGTTCAATGGACTCTTGCTTTTATTAGATAATTCCCATGGTTATGAAAAGGGTTTTGTCGCTTTTATTAACATGTCTTTGTTCTGAATAAACATTTCTTATCGGATTTCTTGTTGGCATATTCCGAAGGAACTTTCCTTCGAAATCCATTTCTCGAATTTCTCACCTACGAGGCAGTTCGGTTTTAATCGTCCTTTATAACGAGAGCTGAGAGAGTGTGCTTATCGACTATTATGGGATGCATGCGACGTCTGGGGACATGAGTGATACAGTTGACTAACAAAACACTACGGAAGTCACCTATCACCCCTTTCACGGACGAGTTCAATTCGCCTTTCATGCAATGCCGGATTACGGAATGTCTCCCGCGGAACGAAAGGGGTCGATTTATATTGGTCATGTTAAGTGGAGATACACGTAATGTGATTAGATTAATGTCAGATCGAAATGATACTTTCTAATTAATATTTGAAACCGAACTTTGACACTTTGAACTATATATACTGAACCAAATTAAAAACTTCACAATCCTACAATTTTAACATTTTGACCAGTTATCATTGTGGGCCATTATTGTGTATTTAAACAGTAATGGCCACGTATTGTCTACAGATAACACCTTTTTTTGTGCAGGTGAATCGATCAAAATCATGTGCACAGCACTATAGTGGCAAAAGTGTTTTTTCACGTGCAACTGGTCCCGTGGCCATAATCCCGCACGTGTTTTCAGCCATATTTGTTAGCAGTCATTAACAAAAGAAGAAAAACACAAGAAAACAAAAGTCTTTACGGCCATTTGTCAAGCCACGCCTTTCAAATTTGCAACGTGAACGTGCCATCGGCATGTTGCAGACGGGAACGTCCGTAGCTGAAGTCGCAAGGACGATGGGTTGTAGTCGACGGACTGTTTATGATTTACAGACGCGTCTACAGCAAACGGGTACCGCTGATCGCCCTCGTGTGACGTCACATGCAGAGGATCGTCAGATTGTCTTACGTCACCTCCGTAACCGATTTTTGACGGCTACATCAACCAGAAATGAACTGTTTTTGGGTAGACTGAGTGCGCAAACTGTTCGAAACCGTCTAAGAACTGCTCACCTTCAAGCACGACGGCCATACTGCGGGCTGATTCTGACTCAATTACACAGACGTCAACGTCAATTGTGGGCACAGCGACACTTACGATGGACTCAGAGGAATTGGAATCAAGTCGTCTTCAGTGATGAATCCCGATTTAATCTTCGATTTGCTGATGGTAGGGCGAGGGTTTGGAGGGTGTGGAGGCGCCGTCATGAACGTTACGCCCAGTGTTGTGTACAGGAAGTTGACAGATTTCGAGGCGGAAGTGTCATGGTGTGGGGTGCTTTCTGTGGCAATGCACGTTCCAGGCTTCTTGTCATCCGTGGAAACCTCAACGCTGCTGCTTACCGCGACCAGGTACTGGCACCAGAGCTTCAGCCTTTTATGGCAGCACATGGACCCGGTTTAATTTTCCAACACGACAATGCCAGACCCCACACAGCAATTTTGACAAGGAATTTCCTTCAGAATGCGGGAGTCAACGTCTCCCGACCTCAATCCCACCGAACACGTCTGGGATGCTCTTGGCAGAAGTCAGCGTACTCTCCAGAACCAACCACAGAATGTGCAAGATCTTGGCACCATTTTGCAGCAACAATGGCGTCGTCTTCCCAATCATGTGTTCACAAGCATCACAAGGTCCATGCGGAGGCGTTGTGTGGCAGTTGTCAACGCACATGGTGGCCATACACGCTACTGAACTTGTGTGCCATCAGATTCTCGTGCTTGGGACTTATGATTTAAACTGTTGATGTTATTACCGAATACCGTAGGTGCTTGGAACAAATTATGGTTACCACCGTTAATTAAAATCCTTCTTTGGACATGATTAAAAATTACCTTCTCTGATACATTTGTACGTTGTATATCATATATGGGATTACTTTTAAAAATGTGAAGTTTTCAATTTGACTCAGTATATATGCGCATATATATATATATATATATATATATATATATATATATATATATATATATATATATATATGCGCGCATGCATATGTTTTATTTTCACCATTGAATGTATAGAGATTTATAGGAGCTCGCTGTGCAAAAGGATGACATGTTTAGCTTGAAGAGCACCTTTGCGGAGACTCGTTGTTTTGCCGATTGTTATGTATTCGTGTAGACGGCAACCCCACAACCAAAGCTAAAATGGAGCAAAACCAAGCTCTTTGATGTCAGAAACATCGAGACCAAACAAGAAGGTACAAACGTCACTACATTGGGTGGCCCTCCTTTCTGAACAGGATGATATATAGTATTTACTTTTCCCTGATCATATTTCTAAACTTTTACTGTTTCTGGACCTTGTAAGCACAAACTACCGATAGAAACAGTCCAATGGGACATTAAATCACGAGAACAAAAGATATGAATATTGTGTGACTGCCAATTTATTGGTGACGAGTTCCATTATGTATTCAACTGTAATTCCTCTTTAACCTTGCGCGCTGAATGTGTTACTGAATACTACACACACTGGCTAAACATAAGAAGATATCGTAAACTGTTCACAAATGGTAAAGTAGGTTTCTTTAAAAAAACTCTCAAAGGTCCTGAGACATTTGAATGCTATACTGTGACGTATTCTACAGTATATGCCATCAAGCTGTACATCCATTACTGTAGTTTTTGTTGTTGTACAACTCATGTACCACCGATGGTTGTTGTCGAGTAATAATTGAGTGAAAAAAAAAGAAAGACAGATTTTCGCCGGGGGAGGGTGCTCCCTCGCGGCGAGGGAACACCCGTCCTGGCTTGGGTCCAATCAGATGGGCGAGCGCCCGTCCGACCGGGAGGAACCTCGCCACCTCGGCTTTGGTCAAGAAGAAAGCGAGTGAGTTAAAATTTGACGGCACGTGGGCATTATCAGGCGAAAAAATGACTATTTAGATTAAATTCTTCAAAATAATATTTCATACTGGTAAGACACCAGAAGAATGGTTGGTTAAATGGGGTGTAATTAAGCCAATTTATAAGAAGGGTAAGCCTTTGTTACCAAACAACTACAAACCATTTCCATTAACACTTGTAAGATGCTTGGGTAAAGTTTTTACTTTTCTTGTTGACAATATATTCACTACTTTCATTGATTAGAATGAAAGGAAATAAGTCTCTAAAATGTTTATACCAGGTATCTTTGTTGATGTCAGTTTTATAAACCTGTCTTTTACCATCCAAGTGTTTGAGAGTAGACCAGAACTTTTTAGGATCATTTATGTTACTTTCTGTTTTTTCTCACTGTCTCGCCTTGTATTCCCTTTTTTTACTTCTGCATGTACTGGTATACTTATTTCTAGCCTGACTGTAAATTGATAAGGATACTGCATCTTTAGTTTTCCTAAATATATTTAAGCACCTACATCTTTCCTTTTTGAGGAATTCACACTCAATATCAAACCATTTCTAATCTGTAATATTTCGACCAACTTTCCTTCTCATACGCATACCAGACTTACACAATATCAGTTAATGATCTGTGAAGTAATTCTTGTACAGTATCAGAGTAAAAAGCATCTTGAAATTGCTTGTTCTTATCACTGTCCCACACAAACTTGAAGCAATCACCTGCATTACTAGGTGTGTTTGCTAAATGTCTAAGAAATGTGACATCTGCTGATTGTAGACTGACGGTGACATGTAGATGTGATGATTCAGCTCTTGATGTAATAGTACAGTCAGTACAGCAATGATGAAAAAGTTGTGGTGAACATATAACATAATCAATGACCCTAGTCCCATTATGTCCTGCGTACGTAAAATCACCAACATCTAAGTGCGAGAGCCACATCTTCCATTCATTATGTGAAGTTAAGTGCTGACCACAAATACAGCAAACATTTGCCCAACTTATTGTCAGTAATGTCACGTGAATATCGCCTGATACGAAAATGATCAAGCAAATAGTCCATAAGGTTGTGTTCATAGCCCTGAATGTGTTCAATAATGTCATCTTCAACATAGTCCGGGTCATTGCCTGTGCGGGCATTAAAATCTCCACCGAAAAAGGGTATGACGTCCTCTTCTATATCCAACAGTATATCAAGAATATCTTCTTGAAAAAGGGAAATAGCATTTTTACTTTCTAATCCAGTATAGTTATACCATGTTGAATTCTCAGGGTGAATATACACTGTGGAATATAAAACATCTGATATAAGACCAAACAGTGTCCTGTCAAATAAAATAAATATGCACCTCTTAGTATTTTTAGTCCATTTCATGTATTTAACAAAATCCTTTCTTAACAAAACAGTTATTCCACCTGATAGTCTCCCAGTTTGGGCTATTTGATCTGCCTCCTCATTTAGTGTGGAGAAATTATGTAACATAGATTCAAGTTCTTATTGCATGTCTTCAATCCTTGTTTCAGTTGGGCCTACCACATCAAACGCGTTCAAGCAGTTCATTGTATCCGTATCCTCAATCTGTGAAGTTAATCCTGAAATGTTTCAAAATAAAAAAAATAATGTTATTCCCTATCTCATATGTTGGTTTGGGCCAATTGATGCGTCGTAAAATCGTCCAGGCCCTTGCCGCACCCCTGTCTCCTCCAAGATTTAGGGGATGGTCTGTTGCTCTGTCTGGATTGATGTGCACTCTTTCCTTGGTGTCGATTACATTCACTAGAGGGGGTGTAAACGCTCTGGTGTCTCTCCGACAAGTCCTGGGACTCACTCCTTTCCTGTACCGGTGGCTCCAGGTGTTGTCTCTCACTCTCCACTATCCTGCCCCACCCCCCACCCCCACCCCTCTCAGTTGTCAGCCTGTTCAGTTCTTCTCTCTGAAACATTGTCATATCATTAGTAATCCAAAATCCCATTTCTTTTAAGGTCTCCCTCCTTCCAATTGCCTGTAGTTGATCCTCCCAATGGGTCAACCGTGCGATTACTGGGCTTGGTTCCCCCTCTCTCTTCGATTGCAGCCGATGAGATCTCTCTATGTCCCTTGGAGTTAGTGCGGAATATTTGGGATCCTTTTCACGAGCTCTGTTCAACACATCAATAACCTTTCCTTTAC